CTAATCAATAACGAGGATTACTGTGAATCAGCGAGGTATATACCCGAACGACTTTTAAGCAATCGATAATCGATTTTCATTTTAGCTCTTGCGATGGTCCCAATGACGGCTGGCGGCCTTCGGTGTACAAAGTGTTCTTCTGCCTATTCAGGTGAGCAGCAATTTTACAAATCAACCAATCACAGTAAAGCAGTTCGTGTTACAGTATCTCGGCGTTATTGATTAGCTCAGCCGCCCTTATCTACTCGCATGCAGAAAATTGGGCATATCTCGAAGCGTTATATTTTTGCTTTATCAGGTATATTGAGTAGTAATCGATATGTATCCTGTGGACTATGCTTCTATTTCAGTTTCGCTACTATTGGTTTCGGCGACTATGTGTCGAATCAGAAAGATGTAATAAGCATGAACAGGGATTTCTATAGGTGAGCTTCATAAAACAAGTATCAATCAATATTAATCAATAATAAAGTTCCTACCTCTGTTTTAGGTTTCTCAACTTCATATTGCTCACAATAGGTGCTTGTTGTTTCTACTGTCTTTTTAATGTGTCTTCCATTGTTGTGAGGTATGCTTTGAAAACAATGGTTTCACTACAGTTTAAAATCAACCACTAGTTATTGGGTATTTTAGGCAGCTCCTTAACTTTATGATCAAGAAAATGGATGTGAAGGGCACAATATGCTGTTTGAAGAAAAAACGACGATACATGGGACTGGGATTAAGGCCACCAAAGGGTAAGAATGCTCAAAGCTTGTGATCTTATTATTCATCCGGAGAAGGCAAACGCTCAATATTCTGGAAGTAGTCATAAAGCTCGATTTTATTTATCACGGCTAAAGGTAAAAGGATTTAGTAGAAATTTTTCGATGCAAAAAGAAAGTAGCAGCTATCAATGACTAGTGAACACTGCCTTTCTTCCAAGACAGAAAGTGGTTCTTCTTTCAAAACCTGCATGATGCACTTGAATTAGTTTTGCTTAGCCTCTCTTCTTCAATCCGATACTTTCCAAAGTTCGTGTTTGAGTAAATCCAGAGTTGAAAAGCATTATCCCAAGGTAGCTTCGTTCAACCTAAGCAAATCTTCAAGTCTTAGGCATACATTCTAAAAAGCTCCATGTAAATTCGGAGAATATGTGTTCTTTTGGTCTGAATAATAGT